CACCCAGCAGGAGCATGGGTGCTGCTCAGGGGCTGCAGCGGTGCCCAGCACTGCACACCCAGCAGGAGCATGGGTGCTGCTCAGGGGCTGCAGCGCTGCCCAGGGCTGCACACCCAGCTGCCTGGGCAGCCAGTAGTGCTCCAGGCCTTGCACAGCTCCTGCAGTTCCTGTCTGGTGTCTCCTGACACACCAACCCAAGTCAGGCCAAAGTCAGCCCAGCAGACAAGAAATCAAAGGTATTGGGAGGATCTGGCACTCAGCTTGGGCTGAAACGCCTGGCAAGGGCAGAAAGGAGCCACATGGAGCTGCGAGCCCCTCCTGGCACAGTGTCTGCAGAGGGCAGGGAGGAGACCTGCAAGCGCTCACGGCTGATCCCCACCGCACCTCCGCAGCCTCAGCTGCACCCGTCCTCTCCCAACACCAGAGCTGTGCTCTGCAGCCCCCCAGAAACACCCACTGCCATTTACCACAGCCCAAAGCACCTGTGCAGAATCCCCAGAAGTTCTTCAGACCTCTCTGCCACTGTCTGCAATACAATCCCACCTGCCCTGTCATTCACAACTCCTGAGTTCTGTTTTCCAGGTTATACTAACACCTCAATGCTCACAAAAGCGATTCTGTAGCAACCTACTCTTGCCAAAATACATTTTGTGGGGTTTTCATGTCTTCTTAAATAAATAGCTTCCCCATGCAGTGAAATAAGATCCTGAGAAAAAATAAGAAAACAAGTAAACAAAAAAAAATCTCATCTTCTCCACAAACATCACCAACTACCAACTATTTGTGGCTCTTTTGACTCTGATAGGCCAGAGCAGAATACATGGATTGATCGATTTGGTTGTTGCACTGGGATTTGTAAACATTTTCTTGGCTCGGAGCAGGTTTTCAATGTGTCCCTGGGACTCACTTGTCACTTTCCAAAACCAAAGCAAAATAATTGAAGCTTAGTTCGGAATGTTTATTCTGCCACGTACCGCTGTGTCCCTCTGCCAGATGGGGTGCTCTGCCTCACACAGTTTGGGAGGACAGGACAGCACATGCCCCTGTTGGTTCTTCACGGCCTGCCTCTCATCCATCCAAACAGAACACGAGCAGAATATCCCCATCGTTGTATGTGATGGCTGTAATTCGCGCCAATATAATATTGTTATATTTGATTCAGGAAAGTATGGTATGATATGTCGTGTTTTATATTGTTGCAAGCACACACGCCAGCACTGAGAGCTGCCCCCGCATATCCGAAACCGGTTTCTGACAAAAGGTCATTTGCAGTCGGAGATGGGTCGTTCCTCGAGGTGATACAGGAGCACCGAGGCACTTATCCTCCCAGCTAGGACCCGAGGTTGGGATCCCTGGAGTCCTCTGGGCTGGTACATCTGAAAGACACGTTCCCGTAATTCCATCAGGGAAATCGTGCACACCTGGACTCAGATTGTTCAGCCTCAGCACAGAGAAAAGCGACTTTATGAATATGTGGGATTCTGAATAGAAAGAAAAGATGGATTGGCGAAATCCTGGCCTTGGGTGGAAAATTTCCTATAAGAACTGCAGGGTCCAGGAGGGGGATGTGTGTGTCCAGAGGCTCCTTCCTGCCACGCACCCAGTGCCGAACCCAGGCTCAGTGCTGTCCTTTTCTTGTGGCTGGCTCAGAGAGAATTTGATTTAAAATAAATTTTTTATTTTTTCATTTTTAATTTGGCTGGACCAATTTTTATCTATAACACCATGAAAAAGCACCTGTACCCAAAATCATCTTACCTTAAACCCAAATGCCTCCTGTCAAAACTGCATTCAAGCACCTGCAGATAAATTCTGCTGCTGGCTCACCCTGAGCACCTTGTCTTCGTTTGAAAGAAACAATATTCTGGAACCACATCTCACTCCTGCACTGTAAACCTGGGCGGACAACTTTGAAGGCAAGAGAAATCCAGAGTTCCAGCCCAAGGTGTAGAATGAAGCCTCACACAACAACTCTGATGAACAAGCTCAATTCCTTCTCCCTGCAGAAGATGAGTGGAGAAGCATTTTCTCTGGAGGAAGGTGAAGGTTTGGCTGTGTGTGGGAAACCCAAACACCTCATCTGCGATGGGATCCCTGCTCAGCCGGAGCTGTCAGACTCTTCCACCTCCCTTCCAAGATGAGCATCCCAACATCACTAAAAATAGAGACTAGTGGTTAGGTTTTATGCAAATGACAGCTGGAATAAGACATGGTTTAAACATAGAACTTTAGATCTCCCAAAGCAGAGGAAATGGATTGAGAGGATGCTGTTCCCCCCAGTCAGGGCACCCCTGCAAAGCTGAGCCTTATCCCATATGTTACTTAATTTTATGGCCTTTACAGCAGGTGTCTTCTGCTCTCACCCAGTCAAAGCAGAGTCTGTCTCCTTCCAGCACCCCACACGCTACATTCTTACTTTTGTGTGCGTTTGTAGGTGTTGAACAATTATTGCTTCAGTTATTACGATTTTATAGCAAGCAGATTCTGAACTGAGATGCTGCTTTCCTTGAGCAATTTGCGTCTCACCAACTGGGAGAAGCAGGCTCGGCCACCGCAGCAGGAAGAGCTGCGGGTCCCACTGAGCCAGCTGGGTGCTCCTGTCGTGCCGTGCTTTCCAGGGAATCACCCCAGACCTCGCAGCCGGGCAGCGCCGTGGGGCTGCTGTGAGGCCGGGCAGAGGGAGCCTCACCCTGCACACAGACACCCCGGCCGGCCCTGCTCCCCCAGCCCCTGCAGACCCCAGGGACACGGGGGAGTGTCCAGGCAGGCCTTGGGAGCCAGCCCTGCAGAGCCACCCGTGCAGAGCCGGGCTGCTGGGGACACCCGTGCAGAGCCACCTGCGCAGAGCTGGGCTGCTGGGGACAGCCCTGCAGAGCCACCTGCGCAGAGCTGGGCTGCTGGGGACAGCCCTGCAGAACCACCCATGCAGAGCTGAGCTGCTGGGGACAGCCCTGCAGAACCACCCATGCAGAGCCAGCCCTGCAGAACCACCCATGCAGAGCCGGGCTGCTGGGGACACCTGTGCAGAGCCACCCATGCAGAGCTGGGCTGCTGGGGACAGCCCCGCAGAGCCAGCCCTGCAGAGTCACCCGTGCAGAGCCAGCCCTGCAGAGTCACCCGTGCAGAGCCACCCGTGCAGAGCCAGCCCTGCAGAGCCACCCGTGCAGAGCCACCCGTGCAGAGCCAGCCCTGCAGAGCCGGGCTGCTGGGGACAGCCCTGCATTCTGCATTCTGCCTGCCCCGGGGACCTCTGCCCCCGCAAACAGCTGTGGGAAACCAGCCAAAGGACAGGAAAAATGTCACCAAAGTAACAAATCACACGAAGTCTGCAAGGAGGACAGGAGAAATCAGTCCAGCAGTGACCTACGGTCAGGGATGCTCAATTGCACCCATTAACACCGGGTTGTCACCTCGGCCCCCTCCCTACTCTGTGCCAGAACACCAGATATTTTTCTCCATCTGATAAGCTGCACCCACCCCTTTGTGTGTCATTCCTCAGCTCCATCTCCTGAGCCATGGCCAGCCTGGAGCCAGCTCAGCCTTTCCTTGAAGCTCCTTGCCAGCACTATCCAATTTTTCCCTCTGTCCTCCTGCAGAGGATGCCGAGTGGATAAAGACTTATCTGCTTTTGGCCTTGCAGGCATGCAGGAGCACGTGGAGTCCTTCTCCCCAGACTCTGAGTCTTTCTTCTTCTCTAGCCCCAGCAAGGTAAAGTTCCACTGAGTTCAACTCATGGGCAGAGCCAGGTCCCAGGAGCGATGTGAGGATGTGCTGATGTCGTGTCAGGGGCAGAAATTGCAGCTGCAGGGGAGCTGTTTTGATGGGGAGGAAAGCAGCAGCAGAGCTGGTATGAATCACTGCCAATTGCTAGGGTATCTAAAATTACACAAAGCATCTACACATAGTCTGGAGAATCACAAGCTGAGTACCAGGCAGTTTCCTCCCTGCTGCCAGCAAGTTACAGATGAGCTGATTTGGTTTTATCCTTTCCAAGCAAAATATATTTTGATTGCTCTGCCTGGGTTGTCACAGCAAAAGCTCTCCAGGCTGCGACCACCAGCCTGGGGGCAGGAGACAGAGGTGTCTGTCACAGGGTTCTTCCTCTGCAGTTACTCCTTTTCTTTGGGCCACCCTTATGGTTCTCCCTGGTGTGATAAAAATGTCTTTCTGAGCATCCAGGTGCCTCTTGGAACATGTGCTTCTGGAGTCCAATGCAGACAGACTCTATTCTCTGATCTGGTGAACCCATGAACTGCTCTGACAGGTAAAGAGCACCCTCACACCTGACCAGACTTTCCATATTGTCATTCACAGCTGCTCCCTGGGCAGTGCCCAGGCCATTTGCCAAAGAATTTCAGGTTGGGGTCATAATAACTTGCCCCACCTCCAGAAACAATTCCACAATAACAAAAAAAAGAAGAACCTGTCTAATAAAATAGTACCTCATTGCCAAGGAGAAGAAACACCATTATTTTAACATGCAAAATCAATTACACCATGGAAATAGCAAAGCTTCTGACTGCAGTGTTGTTAAAAAGTGTTTTCACATACCATGTGAAGTAGCTGCAAAAGCAGATTGTGAGTTTTTAGAAACATGATTCTTAGCAGATGAAATCTCAGCCAGTAGTAGGCAAGAGCCAAGAAGTAGGAGCATTATCACCATCAACCCTAATTTAGGAAAACATTCTTGAAAAAATCGCTCCAGCAAATGTGTATAACATTTGGCTCCGACTGAAATCTCACCTAAACCAATATGTCACAGGCAAGGCAGGGTGGAACTGGAGATCTTAGGTCTGAAAAGTACTGGGCTGGAGTTCCTCTGGGGCTGGCAGCCTCCCTGACACGCTGCAGGCGATGGTGGGAGCTGGGGGAGCCGTGGCCGCTCGGGCTCCGTCCTTCCCCAGGGCTCTCGGCCAGGCTCAGGGGTCTGGCCCTGCTGCAGGGTTCTGCTGCCAGAGGCTGCTGCTCTGCTGGAGCCCTCCAGCCCACCTCTGTGTCCAGCACCCAGAAGCGCCTGCCTCAGCCTAGGCTCTCCCATGGCTCCTGCTGGCTTCCAGCTCAAGCTCCAGCTTTGAGAGCTTCCAGCAGCTTTCATAGCTCCAGGACAAACTTAGACTTTTTTCATGCTTTGCCACATTGCAGAGCAATTAAACATTAAACATCAGCAATATGGCAAAGGCAAATCTACAGCTTCTGTCTTGGGGACAGACAGCATTTCCCCACCATTCCAAGATGTTCTGCCATACATGGCTCCTGCCCAGGAAAACAGGTCTGTGCTTCAGGGTCGTAGTGAGCAGCAGCTCTGGTTTCCCTCTGGATAATCCCAGCAGCACACTCAGGCTTGTAGAGCAGGGAGAGCTTTAAGGTCCCTTCCAACCCAACCATTCCATCACTCTGCGTAGTACCTGGCTGTAGCAGGTTTGGCAGGAACCTCTCTGCTCCTGCACTGCCTTCAGCTCGTCTTTTCTATACCTCTGCCGTGGCAGGGACACCTCCACTGTCCTGGGCTTTTGCAGCCTGGCCTTGGGCACTGCCAGGGATCCAGGGGCAGCCTCATCTGCTCTGGGCACCTGTGCCAGGGCCTCACTGCCCTCCCAGGGAAGAATTTCTTTCCAGCATCCCATCTAAGCCTGCCTTCATGTCAGCCTTGTCCTGCTTGACCCCCTCCCTGCCCGAGGGTGGACTCTGGCTGTAGAACAGCCACGCTGTGCTTGCCTTGCTCTGGGCAGAGCAGAGCAGCCCCTGGGCACCCAGACTGTGCAGGGAATGAGAAACTCCAGGTATTTTCCATCAGGCCCACCGCTTCCAAGTCCCAGTGCTCAGGTGAGGGGAGCACCCAGCAGCCTGAGTGTGCTGCTGGGATTATCCAGAGGGAAACCAGAGCTGCTGCTCACTGTGACCCCGAAGCACAGACCTGTTTTCCTGGGCAGGAGCCATGTATGGCAGAACATCTTGGAATGGTGGGGAAATGCTGTCTGTCCCCAGCCCCAGCCCAGCAAAACCCAGTCCCAGCTCAGTCCCAGTCCCACCCCACACACTGCCAGGGCAGCAGAGCCCAGGCAGCCCAGCCCAGCCCAGCCCAGCCCAGCCCAGCAGCAGCACACAGCTGCCCCACAGGCCCTGGAAAAGCCCAGATGTTCTCTCCAAGTGCTCCTGTTGGAAGGGACGAAGGCTCAGCAGCAGTGAGCCCAAGCCTTTGGGCACAGGTGGATTCCACAGCCAGCCTAACCCAGCCCTCCCCTCACACCCACAGCTGCTGCTGCTCCTCCACCTGACTTCCAGAAGGCAGCCTTGCCCCAGGGATGGACACAGGGATTAGCATACTCATGTGGTCAGGGACCACATTATCCACAGCAGTAAAACCATTTTTTGGCACAAAACTCTTTATGGCAATTCTTATCAACAATTATGCATGAGAATCACACACATATGGGGATCAGAGGATTTCAAAACTTCACCTCCACCAAACTATGGGTTAGTTACGTCAGTGTTTCATGTTTGGTTCTGCCCACCATTTTTGAGAAATGTCGATTTAAAAATACATCATATCCATGTACCTCAAAAGAACTCACAAATCAGGGCAGGAAGCAGGTTCTAAAGTGTTAATACATAGGGAGTTCTTTGTGACATATAATTATCAATTTGTGCAGTGACTGCATAATTAATATGTGGTCTCATCTCATTCTCTTTTAAATGTATTCCCACACTGCCTAGAAGTTGTTGGCTAATGAATTAAACAGTTTGATGTTGATGAATCACAATTTTGCCTATCAATATTAAAATATTGCCAGAGGTATGTTTTCAGTTTCGGTCATGAAAGTTTAAATTGTAATACTGTCAGAAATGCAGCATCCTGTGTTCCCAAGCTTTGCTGCAAAATCAGAAGAGTCCAAGTTTTGTTTTCAGATTTGAGGGTTTTGAACTATCTTTATTTGCTTTCTTCCGTTGAAGGAATGACAGGAACATAAGGTATCTTGCAAAACTTCAGACTTATCAATAATAGCATCTAAAACAGAGAAATCCAGTTACTCGGGAAACCTCAACTCAAAACTAGTTTGTTCCTTGGACTGTGATTAATGTGGTAAGTGAGAGCAGATGGTGAACACTTTGAGAAGCCTCTATGCTC